TGACACGAAATAAAAATTTGTTTTGTTTTTATAAGTATTACTACCTCCGTCCCCTTAAGATTGAGACAAGAGGGAGTGATGCAATTATTAAGAAAAGTGGAATTGCGTGATTAATATTAAATTGATAAAGTGTGGATAAAGTAGGAATGAATTACAATCACCCAAATATTACCAAATATGATATGGGACAAATTTAGTGGGACTGACGGAAAAGGTAAAATGAGACAATGATAGAGGGACGGGGGGATTATGTTTTACCCAAAGTGTTGCTGTATAATGTTGAGATCGCTTTACCCTCCTTTGCAAGTCTGTGCTTTAAAAATTGTTTTTTTTGGGCCAGGTTTTTTTCTGCAAGTACAATGACCCTATTTATGTGAAGATGGAAAAATTAGAAATCATGATAAAGCTTGCATCAGACCGGAACATAGACCAGGTAAGCCTACTTTGGTTGCATTAATATCCTCTTCTTGCTGGTAAGATTATTGAACATTTGTTTCAATTAATATTATATCTCACGGGAAAAGTTTTGCAGGTTCTCTTGGAGTTCAAGGAATATGCCACTGAAGTAGATGTTGATTTTGTAAGGAAGGCTGTCCGTGCTATTGGCCGCTGTGCCATCAAGTTAGAGAGGGCCGCTGAGCGCTGTATAAGTGTCTTGCTTGAACTGATTAAGATCAAAGTAAACTATGTTGTTCAAGAAGCTATTATAGTAATCAAAGACATCTTCAGGAGATATCCCAACACGTATGTTTAAATTCCTACTTCTTCCAATATATTATACCGAGTTATCCATTAAAGATATGCTTTGTCTTCAGCTATGAGTCTATCATTGCTACTCTGTGTGAGAGTTTGGACACTTTAGACGAGCCAGAGGCAAAGGTACTATATAGTTCTCTCAAGACTGCTATTAATATTTTAAGTTAATACTGATATTTTATTCTTCTGTTTCAAACTCCTATCTATTGATGACAGGCATCAATGATCTGGATCATTGGTGAATATGCCGAGAGGATTGATAATGCAGATGAGCTCCTTGAAAGCTTCTTAGAAAGCTTTCCTGAGGAAACTCCACATGTACAGTTGCAGTTGCTGACAGCAACTGTCAAACTCTTCCTAAAGAAGCCAACTGAAGGTCCACAGCAAATGATTCAGGTATTTCATTTTTACATCCTGCCTCATGTAGTGGACTAGTGGTGCTACAGAGCTCCCATTATACTGTTTAAATTACTGTTCCACTGATTTGTCAAGTTCTGGTTTCCTAATTACTTCCACCTTTGTAGTACCTTCCTTGAGCTGCAGCATTTATCACCTTGACACATTGTGCATCCACCTTGCAAAGGAAAATTGGGCACAATTTATTTCCAACCAGATTTCTGTTTGTGTTGGGTTGGGAGGAAAATTGGGCACAGTTTATTGAAGTACATCTGCTTTGTTTGGATAGTACACTTATGAAATTTAGTTTATGATGTGTTTATGAATACTGTTGCATGTGTATATGTAGCAATATAGATGCTTCTCTTCCACATCCTCAAACACACAACAAGCACATGCACAAACACAACTTGGTGAGGTAATTGTTTTAGTTGTGATATCGTGGAACTCCACACGGACAACAAGATGGCTGTTTTTTTAACTTTTTTATTTGCACTGACACAGTTATTATCTATCCTCTGGTGTCCTCGTTTAATTTGCAATCTACCAAGTACCAATGCTACAGAATCCAGAATACAAAGTTCTGTGTTAAATTGCCAATCGAGTGGTCAAATTTTGGTCTCTGCTTATTATAGAAAAGAGATAGCAGTCATAGCTGTATAGCACACTACCATTGTTCCAAACCATGCACCAATATCTATAATGTAATAAATTTTACTTCAAGGTTGTCCTGAATAATGCCACATTGGAGACAGACAACCCAGATTTGCGAGATCGTGCATATATATACTGGCGTCTGCTTTCAACTGATCCAGAGGTATGCATGAACTAATATTTCTGCCAACTATTGCTGCATGGCTTAGTCGAGTGTTACAACTGATGGGGTAATTGGTTGGTAGAAAATTTATTGTCTTTGTTGTAGTTGTCACTTATATTTTGGTCTAACAAAAAAAAACTCTTTAAAATAGCTACTCTCTGGATGATTATTGATTTATTTATATATGAATTAATTAATTACTAATTCATTAATTAATTTAGTGTCATTGTAGTTGAGAATGTAAAATGTTTTATTAATATCATCTATCTCCTTCCTCATGCTGTTCAGACATTTTGAAATTCGACTACCCTTCCAGTTTCAATTTTGGCAAATTGGCGCTTTGTCAAATTTATGACCATTCAGTGTAGTTACAATGACATCAACGGTTCACATTATGTGTAGTTTTTTTAAAGCAGGCTTGCATCTTTACCTTGTAGGCTGCAAAGGATATTGTGCTAGCTGAAAAGCCTGTGATCAGTGATGATTCCAACCAACTTGACCCTTCTCTTTTAGATGAACTTCTTGCCAATATTGCTACACTATCCTCTGTTTATCATAAGCCCACAGAGTCATTTGTATCTCGTATGAAGATCACTCATAAACCAGAGGAGGAGGAATTTCCTGATGGGGCTGAGGCAGGGTTCTCTGAATCTCCTGCTCACCCCAATGAAAGTGGTGCTTCAACGCCAGCTGCATCAAGTAGTTCTCCCTATAATAACCTACCAGGGCAGGCTCCAGCTGGATCTGCAGCTCCTACAGTCGTGCCCGATTTACTTGATCTGGGAGTGGAAAGTAACAACTCTGCTATTGTTCCGGTTGATCAACCCTCAATACCTGCTAGGTATATGTAACTGTCGTGATTATTATATTAAATTGCTAATAAGGACAAAGATAGTTTCTTGAAATTGTTGTTACAGAGCATACATACAACCCTGAGTTTTTAAATTTTCTTAAAGCATCTTTAGTTAGTAAATAAATATATAAACAAGTAACCTTTTGATGCAGACAGGGGATGGTATATGGACCACATAAAACTTAGATGACATTTCTCATGGAGTACTGATTTTGATTGCAGGATTTCTCTGCCTGTTGTATTACCAGCATCTACTGGTCAAGGATTACAAATCAGTGCACAAGTGATACGAAGAGATGGCCAAGTATTTTACAGCATGTTCTTTGAGAACCACTCCCAGATTGCACTTGATGGATTCATGATTCAGTTCAATAAGAACACTTTTGGTCTTGCTGCCGCTGGACCACTTCAGGTGTTAACTCCCCTTCCTCTTTTCAAGTGGGAAGTTTTTATTTGATCTTTTGACTTATGCTGTCATTTCATTTTCCCTCCCATCTTGGTCTTGAAGTGAACAAGTGTGTGTCCAATAGGTACCACAATTGCAACCAGGGACATCTGCAAGCACTCTGCTTCCAATGGTGTTATTCCAGAATCTTTCTCCAGGCCCCCCTACCTCGCTTTTGCAAGTTGCCGTGAAAAACAATCAACAGCCAGTGTGGTACTTCAATGATAAGATCTCATTTCACGTATTCTTTATTGAGGATGGGAAAATGGAGCGTTCAACTTTTCTTGAGGTAACTCCAACCCTATCTAACAAACATACTGATGTAAAAGCTAACTGTATTGGCGACGGTAATAATTGTCGATCTATTAGTAGATAGATAAATTCTAAATATAATGCACGGCTGACTTCTGAAACCCAGTTATGCAGTTTACCCTGCTTTTTTTGTGACTTTTCCTGATGCTTCTATGATTTAATTGTATAAAAATTTATTATTATTACAGAATTTTTCATAGACGCAATGCACTTTGATGGTCAGTCAGGAGACTGATAGATGACAAACCCTTTTCCCTTCAATGTGCAGACATGGAAATCATTACCTGATTCAAATGAGATCTCAAGGGACTTTCCGGGGGTCGCTATAAATAGTGTTGATGCAACCATTGAGCATTTAGCCACATCCAACATATTTTTCATTGCCAAGAGGAAGCATGCCAACCAGGAGGTGCTGTATCTTGCTGCAAAGATCCCTCGGGGAATCCCTTTCTTGATTGAACTGACAGCTGTCATCGGGATTCCGGGACTTAGATGTGCAATGAAGACTCCTAGCCCAGATATGGCTCCATTGTTTTTCGAAGCCATCGAAGCTCTCCTCAAGAGTTATTAACAATTTATGTATGGCCTTTTCACTCTTTGGGCGTGGCTGATGTCCCATTTCTTGATGCCCTTATTTTAGTTAGTGATCTTCCCGATTTTTTGTTTAGTTTCTCTTTCAAGTTCAATTTCATTATCTTCTGATGTCACCACTTTCAGTAGATTTCTATTCTTTTAGGCCTTGTGTGTAAAAAAATCAATACATGTAGTTCAACTGCCTGGAACATAAAAATTATATATCCTATTAAATAATATTAGGGGTATAAAGGATTTGAGTCGAACTGAGTAGCTCTTGGTTGAAATGTTGAATGCATGAAGCTCTTCTTAGTCGGGTAGTGCTAAGCTCGAGCTCGGTTGAGCTTCAATTTTCTGAGATTGAGCTCGTTTAAATCTTGGATCAACTGGATTCTTGTTTAATCAACTCTTTGGCAAAAAGTAAAAACACTGAAACAAATATATCACCGGAAAATTTTCCAATTTGTCTAACTGTAAATCTGCAATGCCCTGTGTTTATGTTTCTTAGGGTGTCAATGTGTCATGCAGAATATGGTTATTCACATCAAAATTGGATTGCACCATAACTTAAAATAAATTATAATGCCATTATAATTTTCACAAATTCAAATGAAAACAATTATTCTACTTTGTGTGTTCATTCACTAAACTCGGAATCTCTTTTAAATTTGTAACGGAATTAAAGTACTCTCAAATTGTACGTCAACTCAACCACGCCATAAATCTTCCAGAATTATTTCTTGCAAATGTGTGGCCTCGTCTTACATTTAACTACATCTATAAAACATATATCATGAAGCATATGTACCGTAGTTACTCTGTTTAAACTCATGTTCATTTTTATGCAGAGGGAAAGACTGATTGTTTGTTTATATTGGTGTGAAGGCGGAAGTAAACTGTAAAACCGTGATTGAGAAGGTAAATAGTGTTAGTTTGATGCAAGGTCATTGGAATCCAAACTTGCCCTATAGGCTATAGTTATTAGAATTTACGTGGGAGTTTATGGCTTCCACTATATCTCTCCCTGAGAGAGCAACAGCCACGAAAATAATATGGGTGCTAAGTGCCAACTGTATTAACGACAATAAAATTTGTCAATAGATAAAGAAATTTGAAATGTGATGCACAACTGACTTCTGAAAGGTGGTTCTGTAATCAAGCCCAGCAACCTAAGGTTGAGAAAATTTTGTATGCCTTATTACAGTACCAAACATAGACCATATTTTTCCATTTTTGTGGGAAAAGGCTGGCATTCAAGATAGGATTTTTCAGAATGAGCAGATCACTGAATTGTATGTACTTCATTGTAGTAACTGTTTCATTTCTTGCATAGCGGAATCCAACAGTTGTGCTAGAGATGCTTCATTCTACACGTGAACATGACATACTAGTCTTTCATTGTCAAATCATTGAATAAAACTTCTCAAGTAACCTGAATCCTCTTTAAATTACTTGGTATACTTTTATAATAAGACATTTATACTTGAGTGTGACTGAATCAAATGACAAAACAATGTAATACACTGAAGTATAAATTCAAATATAATCCATCTGCACAATTTTCCTTGCAAGAAACTTTCCCAAGAAATCATAACCATGGAAGTAGAGAGCTTCAATCTCTGCCCTCCTTTCATTCTCAACCATCAATGCCAATTCTTCTTTGTAATTGTCCTGAACCAAACGAGTTCACAAGTCAACAGCATCTAGTGGCCAGGTTCATGGGGGGGGGGGGGGATCTTTGAAGTAATACCTGCAAAACCTCCGACGATAGCAAGCTTTTTGCTATCTGATGATCTCGCTGCTTCAGTGGGACTAATGATTCTTCCGGTACCAGTTTCTCTATGTCACCCTTTCGCAACCCCAGCCACTTTACATTGCAAGCTGTTAGATTGGGGCGAAAGCCAAATCAAATCCTATCCGATTGAACAGATTGTTCTGACACCACATGTAATGAAAAAGGCAAAAAGGGAACCATATCGAAAAGCTTCCAGACCCATCCCTATGCTTCCATACTTGAATGTACACAGTATGGCCAGGCCAGCTGGGTTCCTAAAAATCATTTTAGAAGAAGATGCAAATGAAGTATGTGTGTTGCTCAAGTGGAAGCAGCAGCGCCATCAAGGAAGTAATTTAAATACCAGTCCACCAAACCCAGTATTGGGATGCCAAAAAGTTCCCTACTCATCCTATGCAGAAGAAACCTGTGCAATTGCACAATAACCCATAAGTATCAGCTCTCATTTTTGTACGCGCAAGGAATTAAAGCTGAGTAGTTAAAGAGGATGCATTGGGGCTATAACTTAAACATTCAAGACGCAAGAACAAATGATTTACTTGTAATTTCAGCTAAGTTTTACCTAGTGGCAATATCAGGATATCCCTTTGCAGTGATTAGAATGCACGGGATTTGATTGAAAATGCGATCCTCTGTGAGGCGGTGAAATATAGCATGCTGCAAATGCACCAGTTTCAACGAATGGCAGCATTCTTTGCAAAAAATACTCACCTCGGAATGTGTACAAGCAGATACCTTTTCAACTACAATGATGTACCGGGCATCCGACTTCAAAACTAATTTTTCCAGCACGCTCAGGTCTCCAGAAATAGCATAACCAGATGATCCACAAGCAGAGCAGTCCGCAGACACTTGGTTTGGCTCCTTTTTTTAGACACGAGTAAAAGTAAGATGATCCCATCTCATAATCATCTTTTAAATCCTATTGACAAATACTAGCGAAGAAGTTTCTAAATCTGATTCCTTTCGAAGTTTCCACAACATATCAGTGAGTGTCTAATAACGTTTAGCAAAAAGTCTAGGATAAGCATCATACAATACAATACTATAATACTAATTCCATAGTATAGTCCGTAAACATTAGCAAGTTAAGTCTGAAGTGAATAAATAAGTTTTCAGGCGGCAAAGGAGGGTAAGAGCTCGATGCCTGTAGCAAAAGTCGGCCAGAAACTGCTCCTCTGCTGGATGCCATTATTCCAAGACTGTAGCGACTACACTGAAGCAATGCTACCAAATCTTAAATTTTCAAAAGCACTATGTGAATCCACTGGATGTCGCATAGATTTAAACTATCATAATGGAAAAAAATACATGAATGATCTTAATACCTTGGATTGTGCTGTTGACCTGCAACTGAGTTTTGAAATACTCTTGTGAATCACAAAGAAGCTTGTAGAATAATTCTCTTTGGGTCACCTTTTTCCCTTCTTGATTTAAAACTTGGTAGCACATTTCCATAACCTTCCACACTTGAATAGGATAAAAATAAATGTAAATTTCCTAATTTCTGAAATTAGTCAAATACGGATTATTTTAACTCCTTACCTCTTACAAAAGACTTAGCAGTATTCTCCCTCATTAACGAACGCGTACAATATGAATAAGAGAGAAAAATAGACGACTCATCACTCAAAAGTCCTCGACTCACTCTGCTATTGCTCGAACTTCTACTAATCTGTTTCACATAAAAATCAACGGAGAAAAAAAAACGGCAAAGAAAAACAAAGTTCATCTTCATAACTTAGATAAATTAAGTGCATGCGTGACACACTTACGACAAATAGCGATTTCCATGGAATATAGACACTCGAGAAAAAAATATCAATCCAGATTATGTCCTCAAGGTTAGGGGAGGAAATCATACCAGAGGAAGATCGGAGATTGAAGGGGAGCTAGAAGTTAGGGATCTGAGGAAATTTAGGACTGCAACCTCGATTCTAGCTCGAACCTGTACATTTACTCAATTTAGGAATCTGTAATATATATACGCACATACATTTCTAGAGAGGCATGACAAAGAACCTGCGATGGAGGGAGAATATCGGCGTAGCAGAGATGTTGATCGGAGAAAAAAACGGATGATTTTGAAAGATCTCCCATCTCTAAAGCTCGCAAAATATGGCGTCTTCTAGCTCGCGCGCAAATTTGTATACACCGGTTAGTTACCTTTCCGCGCAGGTCAAAGGACCACTTGAATTATTACTCCTAGTGTTTGGGTTTGCTTAAAAAAAGAGCTTTTCAGCTTTTTGGCTTAAAAAAAGTTAAAAGAGTGTTTTCAAATGACAGCTTCTGCTTAAATTAATCACTTAAAAGCTAAAAGCTGGAAGCGGGTAGAAGGGTGCTTTAAACTGCTTCTCACTTTTTCTATTACACAAAAAGTACTTATTTAACCAAACACTAACAACTTTTACTTTTCCAGAATCACTTTTTTCTCAAACACTACCAACTTTTATTATTAATCACTTTTCCCAAAATCACTTTAAAAAATCACTTTTTTAAAGTTGAAGCAATTGCAAACACTCCCTTAATTTAAAACGACCTCAAGATTAAATTCCCATTTCTCATATCTGTCATTCATTTTATAAACAAATTTATATCCAACCGTCCCTCCGGGGACATCCGATAAAATTCAGATCCAACAATGCCAAACAAAGCAAAATAGTACTCCCTCTGTCCCGTTTTTAAGTTCTTACTTTGACCCTCACACATTTTTAGGAATTAAATTTGACTTTACTGTTTAGACACTGTTTGGCACTGTTTAGCACTGTTTGGCACAGTTTTGCACTGTTTGACACTGTTTTGATGTAGAGAAACTTTCCATTTGGGGAAATGAGAAGATAATTTTGGGACATCCCAAAAAGGAAAGCAGGAAGTTAATAGTGAGACGGAGGTAGTATGAAACAATGTCAAAACATCATATTCTACAAAAAGATTTAGAGAGAATTTGACTGTACACAACATTTTTTGGGTGATATTAGACTTTGGATTATGTTTTCCAAAAGATTTGAATTTGTACCCCGTTTCACTTAATAATCCTTTGAGTTTGCGCCCCATCCAGGAACTTTTATACACAAAATGTTATATGATGGGTGCAAAGTCAAAGCTTTTACAAAATAGGGTGTAAAGTCCAATATGACCCAAAAAGTGGGGCGCAAAGTTAAATGCCCCCAAATATTTACCTTCTCAATAAATTTATTTCCTTTAATATGCATGAAGTCAAACAATGTAGCATTATATATTACGTAGTACAATTTGTGAACATGCAAAATTTTAATTATCAGTCCGTAGTAATACTAATGATCTTATTAGGAAATTTAACTTTAAGCAAATATGTGAAACGGCGCCGTTGTTATATCATGGGGACAAGGTTAGGTGTTGGGTCGTTGATTTCCAGGTCGACCCACCCAATCCTATCCGGTTCTGTTAACATAGGGAAAAACTTGCCAAACATACAAGAGACTAATGCAAAAAGGTTGCATATGTCTTATGTGTATTGAAGAGAGAGTGACAATATTGGTAGATGTAACGTCCATACTTGCAAGCAATTATGAGCTCGTTTGGTAACATTGTTTTTGAGATTATCAGGCTTATCAATAAGCTTTTTCATCAAACATGTAACTTATGATTTCGCACGTTGAGTTATGTAATAATAAAAAAAAGTAAGGTTGAAGTAAATTTTTTGGATGTATTGGCTTAAGTTACTGTAGAGTACTCCCTCCGTATTTAGTTGTTCTCTACATTAGGTTTGGGCACAAAGTTTTAGGATCAAATAGTAGGAGTAATCAATAATGTAGAAAAAGTTGGAAAGAGTGTGTAAAAGTATGAAAGAGAAGATAAAAAGTGGAAAAAGTAAGGGTAATTGAGTATTTTTAAAGGAAAAAACTTATCAAAAGTGAAAGTGTAGCAAACTTTTAAATACATCCCAAAAAGGAAAGTGTAGCAAACTTTAGAATATGGAGGGAGTACCTTTTTAGCTATTTCTACATATAATTTTTTCTTTATTTTATTAATAAAACATATTTTAAATATAATTTTTTCACAAATTAGCAGAATCAACTAATTCAGCCAAATTCATAAAATTCAGCAAAATCAGTCGATTTGGCCACATTTTAATATTAGTTGAATTTTAATATTAGCCACATTTTCATACTAGTCACTTTATCATATTAGTTCCATTTTAATATTAATCACATTATAGTATTAGTTATGTTTTAATATTAGCAACATTTTCATAAACATTATTGTTGTATTCAACTGAAGACATAGGCTCCGTTTGTTTTTCAGCGGGTAGAGTGCTATGCAGCGGTTTGTAGTTCAACTCATTCGGCGGATTGACGGAAATGCTATTATCCAAATGGATACATATTCACGCGGATGGATGTACACAAGTCATTAGGAAGCTAAGATCCACTGAATCTCTATAGATAATAGATGTGCTTTTATTGGTTTGTATGTCTAACCAGAAAAATATCAAAAAAATTGCCTAAATAAACTCTAAATAATTAAGTTTATGTTAAGAGATTTGAATTAGTCATCTTCTCACTGATTAGAAATTATTACTATTATCTAAAAAATTAGGAAATCATAATTATAACGGTGATAATTAAGTGTGTGACTCATAATCATCATATCTTTTAATCCAATTGAGCTCACACTTTCTCCTATAAATTGGAGCTCACCTCTCTCCTATAAATTGGAGCTCACCTCTCTTAAAAGCATACTTAATATATTCTCTCTGCTCTTCTTTCTTATTTCCATATTTGCTTCCATTTCATAACAGTTTCAAAATTTTGGCACTAACAAATAACGTATCCTCAAACAAATCAAAAATAACAAATACTAATTCCTTATGAAATACCGAGTACTTCACAAAATTATAAAATGAATCTCCTCTGTGTTGGGGGCAATGAAAAGGCCGAATGGATTACCCGCACACAGAGAGACACAGTTTTACATACGTAGTACGATATAATCTGTACACAGAGGTCACTTCAAATCTTGTAACCTTTCTCCTCTTGCCTACAAATGCTACAGTATATGAAAAATTCAGTTGGAATCAGTTGAATTTTCAACTTACAGGAGTTGTTTGAATACCTTGAGTCATTTTTAGTCCATATTGTTTTTTTTAATGTAGACGATATTTCATTTAAAAAACATTTTCTTAACAGGTATCCTATTTAAATCATTCGCTCAAATATAAAATTACAAGATTGTCATTTAAGTTCCTACAAACTTGGTCTACTATTTTATTTAAAATACAGGGTCATCAATCACCATGTAGAAATTCCACCTGTTGTTAGTTAGATAAATATCGCACCTAGCTACCTATACGTTAAAACAATTGCTAATGGCCACATTTAAGTAACATAAAAAAGAATAGACGAGTGGCAACACAAATACTTCAAAAGAGGCTTAAGACAGCCAAGTTTGAAGTGAAGAACTGGCATTGGAAGATCATTAGATCAACCAAGTTTTTTTAGTTTGCACCTCATTTTTCAGCCAAGTTTGCATTTGCACACATTTTTATAATAATTAGTTTTCGCACCCGAAAGTTTGGAAAAATGAGATGGAAACATTCTTAGCCTGAAATTTAGAAAATAAGATGCAAACTCAAATTTAGTTGAAAATATGAAAATATGGACCTGAAAATATGTTGCAGAATATACAAACTATATTTGAGAGATTTAAGGTGGAGGTGAGGGAGTTTAAACAAAATGGTGAGAGCATAACCCCCTAATAGCCTTGTGCTGGGTAATTTGGGACTTCTAATAACTAACGAGTAGCATTGACTCAAAATTCAAATCACCGATTCACCCAGAATTGCTCTTAACCCCTCCCTTATAGTAAACTTTGGGTGTTTACCTCCCTAGTAGCATTGTCTCACGCTTACACTACCTTGCACTATGGCAAAGAAGATGAGGCATGAGATGTAGTAGCTGGTGCAGGCTGATCTGCTATAGGAGTGGAAGTGACTCTCTTTGCAAGTATGGTCTGCAATTGCGGTGAGATTGCACTGGTGGATCTGCTAGCTTGAGCTTGCTGTGTTGGCAGAACCATGTAATGGTTGAGAGCATCATTGTATGCTTCTCCCAATAGGCTTCCACGCATACGGCCTGAGGGGCGCCAGTTTTGGTCTGACTGTGAATGCAGTGGCAAGTGTCCTCCAATATTTCCAACCATTTCAGTGCTTGCCAATGACTCCCTAGGTACATTTGGACGAGGATGTGGTGGAGCTGTAGACAGCTGAACAGGCTTTGCCACCTGGGAGATCCGCATGGCAGCCTCTGTCGCCTGATTATGTTGGCTGTGAACGTCTCGTCTTGCCTGTTGTACACAACTATGTGTAATTCCTTGAGATTGACTTGTGGCATTAAGTGGCTGCATGTTCGGTGTTCGATGCTGAGTAGTGCTTGTTGGTTCACCTGTGAAACCTGAGGGTGCTCTGAAAGGAACAGGTACTTGATTTTGACATTGTAGGTCAACAAACTGCTGCTGAGCTGCGTATGGAGTACCAGAAAAAGAATAACCAGGCGGCTGCCAACATTACCACAAGAAATAAATCAGAAGAATACACATGGACATACATTCTGAGCTGCTATAATAAGTATCAAGGAAAAAAGAGATTGTGAGTCCAAACAAGGAGTTCTTATTTGCTATAACTAGAAATAGTAATAGTAACTAGGGGTGAGCATGGATCGGGGAGTCCCACCATGTATTGGTTCTTTAGTGATAATTATACCAGAAGCATCCTTGAACCATCCCATATCATCCAGAATAACTGTTAATTTTAAAATATACATATGCACATATGTTGCACATATGCTGCACATGTGTTTGTGCATATATATGATCATTTTTTCTTTATATTTTAAAAATGTACTTTGAAACTCGTGGTTGAAATTAAAAATTAGACCTTTTCAAGTTCAATGTTCTACTAATGACATGTTATGTATGATGTAATTAACTTTTAGAACCAGAATTTACTGAAGAACCTTCTCGGGCCAAACTGAAAATTGGTACAAAACGGGATAGGTGCTATTCGATTTTGGAAAGGTACCAGTTCTTTAGCCTTCAAAAAGAACTATTACTTGGTACATGAGACAGGATGGGTGTTTTAGAATACACGTTTAGTCCAGTCCCATCCATGCTCACCCATAGTAGCAAGGGAAAAACTTACCGTCATGCCTGTTGATCTTAATAATGGTATGGAAGGAGAGTGCCGAGAAGTTCCTGAGGGGAAGGAATGAAGAGAGTTCATGGTATTTACAGGTGGCCGCAAAGGAGAGCGGGTCTGGGCAGGAAGGGCCTGAACTGCAATTGGTGTTCTGCTTACAGCATATCTAGTTATTGATGGGGACCTTCCATATTCGTTGTTGGCAACTGAATTTTCAAATGGGATCCGTTGTGACTGCATTGTTTTGGAGGATGATGCTTCATAGGCTGGAACAAGATCATTAGTCAAATTTGTCGGAGTGCGCTGAGGATTACTACCCATCTGCTCATTGCTTGTAGAACTACTTGTCTCTAAAGCATATGTTGAGTGAAGAACTCTTGACCAGAAATCCCCCATATTAAAAGAGTGCTCAGCCTGATCCAGATTGATAGTATCAGGCTTTTGGCAGTTTTCTGCAGAAGCTATAAGATCTTCAATCGTTTCCCGCTTCAAATTAACTTCCCTGAAATCTGACTGCAATGTTTCATCCTTTGCAAAATCATCGGTTTTATTGGGTGGCCTTTGTTGATGGTCATCATCAGTTTCTATGATAGCCTTCCACGAACCATCTACAGAGATTATCACGTCATTGATGTATTCTCCAGCTTGTTCCAAAACCTTGAAAAAAAGAAGTTAATACGGAGAAAACTTACTGTCAAGCAATATACAAAGTGAAATAACTTTACTACGAGAACATGCCTTGGCCATAACTTGATCAATACGGATATCAGGAAAGCAGGCATGTTGGTTGCAATGGGGACAGCGCCACAATGGTCTTCTTGAATTGATGTCAAGATAATTGTCATAATCAAAACACTATTGGAGAAATAAACATGTCGGGTTAGACTGCATTATTGGCAAAATAAGATCTAAAACTTCACAACATTAAACCCTTTCGAGAAAGAAACAAATTACAAACCAAAAATGAAAACAAAAAACAACATTACCCCAGTGCCGCAAAGGCTCCCACCTACGGTGGAGGGTAAGGGGGGTTGGATGTACGCAGCCTTACCTCTGTACTAAAGCACAGAGAGACTGTTTTTGGATGACGCTTAATGAAAATCGCGTCGAAAATTGCATGGATTGACTGATGCTTCATAACAAAAAAGCGCAGACAATTTAGTGAGCCATTTTGCTTTATTCCATCATATTCCCAAGCCAAAATATAGTGAGTCTTCGGCTCCATTGGAAATGAAGGAAATAAAAAAGACTTAAAGTTGAGAGGAAGATTACAAACTAAACAAAATTAAGTTTCCACCCTAATACAAACAACATAAAAAGCAATTTCTGAACCAAAACGCAACAGTGTAAACGTAATCTGTAATATTTGTAACTTTTTCATTTTAATACGCTTCATAACTATCTACCTGGAGATGTTTGCATGACTGGCCTTTAACAGGAATCTTAATGCGCGTGAAGCTGCACATCCAAAGACAAAGCTATCAGCAGAGTGCTTATATATTACATCCAGGATTGAGACAAAGATGTATATATCTTTAAGAAAGGTGCACACATAACATGATAACATTCATAATTAGTATGAGAAATGGGGAAGAGAGAAAGAGGAAGTAAGAGTCTAAGAAGTAAGAAATAAATACAGAAAGAAACAAAGATGTGAGAAAAAGAGTGAATGTTATGTGTTCACTGGTATATGCATACTACTGGTCTAGTGATATGTCGTAAAACCAGAATACCATACCTTATGGGACAATTCAATGAGATTCTCGATGGCCCTTCAATCATCTCAGAATCTACATGTCGTAGAAGTACTTTTAATGTTGTGTGTGGGCATAATAAGGTATATAGCTAAGGAAATGCACCAACACATCATGTGAATGTCGTGAGGAATTTATGAAAACTGCGTTATGATATCATTTCCAACTAGCATGAAGGATCATGGTTTAAAAAGGTGTTTTTAAGGCGTGCCTTGAGGATTGCCTCAATGTGAGACATTAAAAAATGGTCTTGAGGCTTTTTCCTGAACTGAATCAACCCAGGCTTAAACCTCAGATGGCTGAGGCTTTTTGTGAGGCTTAAGCCTCATAGTTTTTGTTTTAACCTTTGTCTTGCCTTATTACTTTTTAATGAAAATTATACGTAGTATTAGATTATTGGACCTATTATCTTTATTAATTATCCACTAAGCCCAATAAAATCCTTAAGCCTTTATGTTGAAATCAGCAATTATCTTCAGACAATCTAGTTATAAAGCTCAACTCTTATATATAGCCAAGAAAGTACTCAGCACTCCTAGCACAGAGAAGCAGAGCTACTGAGCTACCACCTCTATTCTCCTGTTCAGACAACTTCAGCTACTCCTTTTTCTTTTGATTCGAACAATTACAAAAGACCTAGAGAAGTAAGAGAGCACAATTTCTTTATTTTCTATGAGATTTCTTCAGGCCAGTCAGGTTTGTGGCATTTCTCAAACTGACCCCTCTCCTATTCACATTTCTTGATATAAACATGATGTATGCCAAAATACCCTGAAAAACTTATGTAAACCTTCATGTTAAGAACAAGTAAATGGGAAATTGGGAGGGTCATTTTGCGAAATACCACAAATCTGACTGTTAAATTTAGAAAGTTCCCTTATTTTTTCTTTTTATTCAAATTGCTCTACTATATTAATATCCTCAACTTTTGTTTAGGCGACACTTCTAACTTATCTGCAACCTTTTCTTCTCCGCATATTTTTGCATTTGATTTTTTTAATCAAGGACAAATAACTTTATATTAACTTGTTTTCTACGTACACGATTGATAATATGTTTAAGATTGTTTGTGATTTTAAATTGTAAAGTATCAAATATATTTTGAGGCGTACCACCTGGAGGCTTATGCCTCGCCTAAAAAATGCAAAACACCTCGACAGATAAAAATGAATTGTTAAACATTGTAAAGGATCACATATATGGTGTGTGCACACATGATCGTTAGAGCTCATATAAATCAAATAGCTCTGTGGACATTTAAAATTAATACTTAAAATTTGTTTCATAAACTCATAAAAACAAATTTAAACTGTTATATTAGTGCAAATAAAAAATACGTAGCACAAGTTTGAATACAAATGAGAATCCAACACCCCCGGCATACACGTGCATCATCCATTAAAGCACTTAAAACTCACAAAAGTAGAAGCCATAAAGTGATTGCAATTTCAGTGCATGCAAAATAAGAACACAGAGGGGTAACATGAGTTTTCAGTAACACAAGAACACATATCTCCATGGACATTAGTAGTAGCTATATAAACTTCACACTTCTTCCAAAATGCCATGAAAACATACAGAAAATTGGGTGTGCGTACCAGACATGGACAACTAAAGATAGATAACCACACAAAATACTTTATACACACCTGAATCAACTGAGGCAGATAGCGTTTGCACATAATCTGGAAGAGTGATGGTATTTGGGGTCTCCGCCATAGTCATAGAGGCAATGGCAATTATATAACTTCCTTCAGAATGATTTTAAAAAACTAAGACATTTTACAATTAAAACAGCATACAAACATTTCAGATATTGCAAATGAAGTTTTCTGAGCAAACCATTAAACTGGCCCACAGCTTGAAGAAGGTTTACTCCAATCACAAGCATATCTGCCACAGCTGTTGGAATTTGAGGTCCAGTATCCTATTGAAATAATATAGATTTAAAAAAAAAAAACTAAATAGCAATTCCCAGAATTGCAAACCATCAGGGATTACATATATGAATAAAGCTTCATATTCAATGGACATACGATTGACTGATCGGATCGGTTTTTTATCCCTTTCCCATTGATGAGAAAACTGCAATAACAAAATACGAAAGACTGTCAAGAGCAGACACATTATGAAATATTCTACAAGAGAAATCCACTAGAAGAATGTGGGGTTAGTCAGAAAGACCATAGACAAGGGCTTTATACTTCACGTTAGGAGGCGTTATGAGACATGACGATGTCTCCATATTGTCTATTTGGGCAGCAAGTAATCTCTGCAGTAGAGAAATGAAATTGTAATGTGAGCCATAATCAAATTGTAAGCATGCTTCACATTTAATAACCTTTTCAAACATAAATAAGAAGTGGGAAAAGTTAACTTTTTCAACATAAATAAGATTTGGAAAAAAGAAACAAAATGGGTTGTAAATAGATGCAGGTTCTGAAATGAAGTGATTGGCTATTCCCCTCACCACGAGAAATGTGGATAGCTATAAGAGAGCTAGCATGAACATAGAGCTAGAATCATTGGACAACGACACTCTCTAATACAGCAAAGGTTGGACAAGACATGATTCAATAATAAGATTAACCAAATGCTTATTTAAGAATGAGTTAAGAAATTAACACTCTGCTCAACAAAGTCTTACTCAGACTCTAGTTCGACTCTGCCAGAGTATAAGTCTACATAATGTCCTAGCAAATACTTTTATTTCAAATCCTCAATTGCCTAATATTTTTTGGGTTTAGAAACATGTGGATGGAGTATTACCTAAAAGAAGTTGAATCATTAAATAGGGTAGGCTGAAAGCACCTAGACTATTGCTACCAATGAAGAATCATTTAAAACTCATTTGAGATACAAATTTAAGCATGAAGTATAATAAACAATGGAGGTGCATACTATAACTGCTTCTGGAGATGACCGCATGTCCCGTGACACAAAGAAGTCATATATATATGCACCAAATCCAGGCTACAATTGGGAAAAGTAAAAACTGTATTAGTTTATGATTATTTGAGCCAACGACCACCCCACCCTCTCCCCTAGGTGTGGTGGGATGAAACAAAGCAAAGAGAAAAACACATCAATACCTTTATTTCAAGAAAGGCGAGTATGTGACCCATCCTCAATTGGGGAAAGAATCTGTCAGTGCAAAATTTCTTCAGAAGCATTGGGCAGAGAAAGCCACTCATCACAGATAAGGAAAAAACTTTTGTAGTTTTTGAAGAGAAATAAAAGCTAAAGCGGTAACAACTAACATTGTCCTTCACTAAAGCAAAGCTTGTTAATCTAACAACCATAATACTGCAATGCAGCAATTACAGAGGATATGCAATCATATAGATCAATGTCATTGAGTTATCAGAAATACTAAAATTCAAATATTTCAAAAAAATATCACACATTCAAGCTACAAGGCAAGAAAGGAGAGGCAAAGTCTCCTACCTTGACATAATTGTTGAGATAGCGGGCAAGCAACTGCTAGGTTCGCTTCTGAAATTTGTTGTACTGCAGAAGCCACTATACATCTGAATATGCAACAAATAAACAAAAGGGATAACTTCTACCAAAGGAGCTAATGATACAGAGGAGCTGGAACATTAGTTAAAACTACACAAACCTCATTTGCCAGATGGTGAAGCTCTTCAGAATCTTTGTCCAAAAACCACCCAGTACTGCAAGCACTCTACAAATTATGACCAATTCAAATTTGTAAGAATAGTTGCACTTCACAGTTCACATGCTTAATCTTTAGACAAAGAAATAGTTGTATTAACATTAACAAGTCCAACAAATGATACACATAAGAAGTAATGACCAGTGTCTCCGACGCTCCAAGCCAGAAAACACTAAAATGAGTCTAGACTAATAGTACACTTGAGAATTAACACCCATGGTTTGATGTGCGAAGTAAAAAGATAAATCTGTATGCACGTCGATTAAATTTCCAGATTTCCTATCCAGCTTGTTGACATGATCTCCAACTCAGTAGTATGCAATAACCATCCAAAGCAAGCCATCATCCTCAATTAGAAGAACATACAGTATTTAGCATAAGTATGATGGTGTGCCCTTGTTTCAAGATCCTAGAGGAAATTGATCATTTTGTCTGGTAGGAATGTTTTCCTGATTTTTTCAAAGAACTCTACTTTCCATTATGAAGTCATTTACGTATCATTTCCCAGCAGAGTGTTTAGCTTGCACGGGCATTTGAGCTTAGTATTTTTATATGAACGATGCATTATTGCTCAGTAGCTCAAAAAGTAGTAGCAAGCGAATGACACAAAACCTAATTATTTTAGATATTGGCAATGCATCCAACAATTTATTGAAACCACATGACACCAATATGAGTAAGTAGCCTTCTATTGCTAATTTGAAATAATAATAAAAACAGTAAACACATACACAATAGAGTCAGTCAACATAATGCTTAATTGATGATTGGCTGATTAAAAAAAAAATCTTGTGTCCGCCATATTTCAGCCGTGGACTTGGCATCCTTCATGAATACTATCTAGTAAGGAAAACACCTGGAAGGCCTCCACTTAGCAGAACGTCAGTTGAAGTAACAGGAAGCCGAAACTGTTCTACTAATGATTTAACAATAGAAGGGTAACTATCTGTAAACTTGATACAATGAAGTACAGAAGAAAGACCATATCTTGTAACAGCTCATGACTGACAAAAAAATTGAAAATCATTGGTAACAAAATCGAGTCATATGGCAAAAGAGGTTACTGGCATTGAGCAATTACTTTAACAGAAAACATTAGGGCCATAACAGCTGCTAGAGCAGGTAGATCATTGTTGCGCCTACACACCTGGTATCAAACGTGATATGGAGAAAAGATGTTAAACTTGATACATGGTCGCATTTTATGTAAATATGATGACAATAGAACTGAACATTGCCCAAAAAAGGCACTACGGGTAGAGTAAAGCCCTTAATAAAGCAAGAGAAATGGTTTGGCATAATTACTAAACTTGTTTGGTTTGGCAATAGCAAACTTGTACTATCTCCGTCCCATTTTATGTGGGTTACTTTGGTTTGGCACAATTATTAATAAAATGGTTAAAAAAGTAAAAGTTGTTGTTGAGATTTGAGTATAATAAAATGATGTAGACCACATATTTCTTTTCAAAAAGGGAAATGTGACACTTACTTGGGACAACAAAAAAGGAAAGTAAGACATGTAAAATGGATAAAGGGATTATATTAAAGTAAGAAAAGCGCACATCTTCCATCGAATGTGTTGAAGGGTAAAAAAACATCTAAAGGACTTTGTAATTTTAAGAGGGTTCAAATATGGGTACTGCAATGTTTTCATTTCAAGGGCAGAGGAATTGTCGTTTGATTTATGTGAATAATGGATAATTTGCCAAGAGCTTCAATTTGAAGAAATTTATATATTTATAGGTACCTCATGTTTTATATGATCATTTGAAAAAAAATCCACTTTTGATCTCCACAACTTACATTCTTCCCACTTTTGGTGCATGACTGACTATCTTGCCAACCTTGGTCCTTTCCATGACTTATACGGTGAAAGTCTACCGGAAGTTGTATGGAAATTGACAGGATAAGGAGTCGGAAGGACCATAAGTGACCAAAAATATATAAGCAAGGGACCTATGTAGAAAAATGAAAGTCAGGGACCAACAATAAGAACGACACTCGTGAGACCAAAAGTGGAATACTTTCAACTTTTCAGTTTAGATGAGAAAGTACAGATTCATACTAGTATAACATTATAACATGTTATATGATGTTGGAAGCTGATAGCATATAGTCAGGAGTAGACAACAATCTTAATTCCCCATTTGAACATACCTGCTTCAACAGTGGAGGTAAAACTGAAGCATCAGGGGGAATCTCCTGGCTGGCAATGGAATTATCAATTCCCCTATAAAAATCAAATATTCAGTCGATAACACTATATGTGAATCAAAAGTGGGTAGGAAGACTTCTTATTTCAAAATATTACGTGAATAGGTGGAAAAGTGCAACCATACATATTTTTTAAATTTCAAGAATCCGCAATGACATTTTACTTATTACCATGATTACCCAAGAAATTGTGCATTCTCCCCTTCAGACGATGTAAAAGGGCAAATAATTCCATCTTTACATCGCCCATACAGTTCATGTAAAGAGAAACTCATCCATTAAAAACAAAATACTCCAATAATTGTTTTACTACATATTTTCACCCATCCATTTGTACTGTACGGATGAATAGTGTTCCATCCACTCCGTATTGTTTTTTCAAATTCATCCAACCGCCTTAAGAAGCATTATAATTGCACCAAAATTTCAAAACCATCAAACTAATCACATTCATCAATGATTAAATTCTCTGTTAATTACTTTGTTCATGTAAAAATATACTGTATTAAAGAAGTGGATAAATTGAAAATTCACCCATGGAAATCTTGCTAACAGATGGATTGGGTATATCTAATTATTACATGGATTATGGATGGAATAGATTTTTGGATGAACTTTTAATCGATCCCATCACCCCCGTATGAACTTTTAATCTAACTCCATAGGGATTGAGTATATCCCCAACCCAACCCATCACCCGCCACACCCCTTCAGATGAACAAATTAAATAGTTAGCATGTTCCAAATCTTTCCAAACTGGAAAAGGATTCTAACAGATGGATTGAATATATTTTTGGATTTTTTTTCAGGATCAAAATTTAAATACATTTACAGAAGTGGCCAAAAACTGGAAAATGATTACATATATAGAAAAATTCAAAACTTCTCAGTATTCATTTCTATGGTAAACCATTAATGCGCAGTATTCATCAAGCGGCTTTGAGAAGCTACCATAACTCTTCGAACTTCTCAGTACCATTAATTAAAGCCCTTTCCAGTTTTATACGTCGGCAAAAAATCAACCGTTTGAGAAGTCGAAAAAAGGAAGACTAAAAATTCAAACTTTATGACAAGAAGCTAACACCTTTGTATAGATACCTTGAAAGGAGGATGCATAGCTGGCGGAACTCTACGCCGTCGTTTAAGGGCTGGGAGCTGTCGAGCGAAGCTAGTCGCTCGGCAATGGCTGAAATGCAGGGCAAGTTATTAGACGGAGGCTTCGAAGCAGAGCGTTTTCCGTCCACGCAGACTCCGGCTTTCCTCGCCGGAGGACAAGCACCCTTTCCGGCCATTCATGCAGACGGTGTTTTCTTCCCTTTTCCGAGCAAATGTGCTTGGAGAACGCAGAGCAACTAAAAGATACTTTCTTTCCTCTCACTACAGAAAATGAAGAAACCCCAAGAAACTATCAGTCAATGATAGTGATCGTTGTGATAACAAACTTCACTCCAAGTCTTCTTCTTCTTCCCAGTTCACGAGAAATTCTTTTTAATGCGTTCTGCCTCCCTTCTCTATTAGGCAATTATGCAGGAGCACGAACTTCCAGAATGCGAAACCATCTTATTCCAGAATGCATTCGGTCTCATGAACCCGGCCAGACTTTCTTGCCACTGTCTTCGTGCAGTCAATGGCAGCTTAAAATGTCTGCATCATGAAATGAAAAGGGTGAGACCCATGTCAAATTAATTCAAATAAATCATTCCGACGACAAATACCGCAGTCGGAATCACTTTTGTGCTTTCACCCGAACACTGCAACTTCTATTTCTGCTCCGTGAAGGAGCAGAAGCAGTTTTAAGAATCAGATCCAAACATCTCATACTCGAAGTTAGATAATCAATGTAAAGCCAATATGATTTTATTGTCTAATTTTGAGTATCAATTACTAATAAGCTAGTATCAATTTGCTAAGATGACATATGACATTATGATACTTTCCAGGGAGAATGTCACAAATTCCAAAGTCGTCCTTTAATGTTAATAGATACCACTTTTTTATTCCAGGGGTCTAGAGGAGGGGCTGGAGTAACTGGGCTGAAACTCACTCCAAGTTTTGAACCCGAGACCTCCCATATGAGAGAGTGAGTCGACGACCAGCTAGGATGGACCGCTTTTTCAACGAAATAGATACCATAACAAAAGAGAAAGTGCAGCCAAAAAAAGTTTAGATTCACTTCAACATTTCAACAATATTAATTTACTTTTGACCAATAACATTACATTTACAAATTACTAGCATACTTTAAAACTTAAAACTTATAGGGAAAAATATTTTAAATACTTCAAACTTTTAAAACTTTTAAAAGGTGTGAGGTATTTAAAATATTTTTCAATGACTATTAATGCATGTATGAATTGGGTGAAACTTGTATGTGAATAATCGTGACTCTAATAATTTATTGTGCCCCCGCCAGTTTCGGGTCGACCCGCCCGGTCCGATTCGGGTCTAATCAGTTCGGTATTCCAAGTGGGTCGTCGAGTTCCTTGTCGTGGTACTTTGTCCAAATCCGTTATTAGGATCCTAAAGAGGAACATGACACACTTCTTATGGGGATCTACTAATAATAAACACAATTATCACTGGCTAAGGTGGAAGGACATATGTTTTCGTACGGCACAGGGTGTTTGGGTGTCAAATCATTGATTGACATTGAAAGAGCCTACTATACTCTCTTAAGTTATGGTGGAAGTGGAAATGTGAAGATAGTTCTTAGTCCTTGTTTGTCATGCTAGATACCCTAGAGGACTGAATTTGACCCCTAAAGCCATTGACTCTACAATATGGAAGATGTTTTGTTCCAATAACAGTTTGGGTGGATCACTAACCTCACTTAAGGATGAGAATTGCTTTTGGTGATCTGGTAAAAATGGAACCTTTATTTTCTTTTATGCTTTCATGATCAGGTGGAGCAAATGTGAAACATTTTCCTTTAATCATTCTTGGAATAAGTAGCAAAATGTTAAGATTCAACTCTTTCAGTGGAAGTTATTGCACAAATTTCTTTCATTTCCATAAAATTTGAGGAGGTTTAATCTGGTCATTTTTCCTTCTATGTACCCTATACGCAAGGGGTGGGGAGAGTAAACAGAACTTGCTTTTATGTGTAGGTGCGAATGGACGAAGATGACTCTACTCCACTCGCCTCAAGGGGTGGGGGATTGAGGGATTTACCTTCTTCAAGGAAGCAAAGAACGAGCGTGATGAGTCTGAGCTCGAAGAGAAGATTAGAACAGTACTAGCCATCCTCTTCCCATATGGTGACCATTGCAATAAAGGTTGATGATTTCACCCCTTTCTTGATCTTGGGGGCGTCAGGTGTATTCTTTTTCCCTTCATTAGGTTTTTTTCAAATTGGGTTTTTTCCCAATGAATGTTTTTAATGAGGCATCTCGCCAACATGAACAAGAGAGGAGATCTTCCCGTCTTGGAGAAGAGCAGATGACTTGGACTACTCCCTTTTAGCCGAGTCTACTACTCGACTAAGGGAGTTGGGAGACTCGTGGTGGAGTTATGGGACTAGGCCCATAGCCTGATCGGCCCTAGCCCCGAACTTGGACCCGTGAGTCCAAGCCTACGACTTGAGCCCGCAGGCCCAAGCCCAAGCCCAAGCCCAAGCCTGGGGCCTGCCTGCCAGCCCAACCGAGAGCCTGCCAGCCCGGCCAACCTACCAGCCGGGAAGAGAGTAACAGTCAAGCAATTAATGTGTTATTCAATTATATATTTAATTCCGTATTAATGTTGTAATTAATTCGTCATTATTATTGATAACAGTTACGATTTGTAAACGCCTATAAAAGGCAAGTCGAATTTGAAATGAAGATATGATATTACTGGCTATAAAACTCTATAGCTACTTTCCTTATTTATATTACTTTCCCGATTTTTGCTTGAGTGTTCTTTCACAGCTTTCCTAAAAGTCTACGAGCGTCCATTTTTTGGACCAAAATTTGCTTGAAGTCTTTGAGGTTATTTCTCAAAGGAATTTTCATGGTAGATGGCGAAGATTCAGTGGCGGATTTGAGGGGAGTAAGGCCATGCATTTGCCTTGGCCCTCATACTCTAGTGGAGCCTCAAAAAATATTAATAGTATAAAATATATGTTTTAGTTTAATAGTTTAGAAACTACCACATTCCCTATCCGGCTATCCTTCATTTTAGTAAACAGTTGTGTACGTGGCCTGCGGATTTAGTGTTGAGGTAATTTTGACATTTTGTAAAAATTAGGTTTAAGATTAATAGGTTATTGGATTCATATTAGTTATCATGTTTTTGGTATATTGGTAGTCCAAAAATACATAAAGTAATTTTTAGATTTAATTAGTTGTTAGGCTCGCAGCCATGAATGTATTACTGAAGTAATGTTTAATTAATTTGATCGGAGTAGTTATTTAGTTCTTAACTATTGTTTATTTGTGAATTTTAGCTTTTTGTTGACTGTTTTATTTGTGATTTTTCTGTAAGTATGTTATTGGCAATCAATAATCAAGATTTGTAGGGATCAAAAAGTACTACATCTCATTTTAAGGTTTTCATTTAAAGGGCACATTTTTAAGTTAATAATTAAATAAGATAGTTTGAGTATAATTTAAGAAATAATTTGGGAAAGTATAATATAATGGAGTAACCGTAATAGATTCTAAGTGCGATGTTATGAGAGTATTAATTTTAAAATGTGATAGATGGTTAAATTGTCATTTCAAAGAGTTAATTATTTTCTAAAATGAAAATGAGAATGAGAACTTTTAGATGGAACATCCAAAAAAGATAAATGATAATTTTTACCTGGGCGGAGGATGTGTAAGTTTTGGTCCATTTTACATGTGTTTACATTTATAAATTTATTGTTTCGATGTTCATAGTATATGATGCACTTTGAATATGAGTTGTTTTTCACATTTTGGGTTTTTATCAATTTATATCATACTTCGTATCATTTAGTGTTTTTCGTCTAGGGCCTCCGGAGTTCTCAAGACGCCCCAGCGAAGATTGGATGAGTCTATTGGTAGATGGATGGCTGCGAAGCATATTACTTCAAGGCACATATTGTTTGTTTATGGAGAAACTAAAAAATCAAGAAGACCCCCTTTGTCATTCAGGAATGAAATGTAAAATCCAAACACTTTATGTACATTGAACTTATTTATTCGTTCTATTTTTACGGATGGTGAACCACTCCGTTGATATTCAGGACGAGTAATGGAAAGTAGGGGGAGTATGATAGTATAGAATTGTAATTGTCTACATTTGTAATTTTAACTAGTTTTATTTGTTATTGTTTGGGAAATTACACACTTTTAGTGTAATGCTTTATTTTTTCCTAGTTGTTTGTAATATGTTTAGATTATGACTATTCTGGGCTTAAACCGGGTAAAGATCGTCAAAAAGATCCTTGGAAGGTCAAGGAAAGTGCAAGGGAACAAAATAAAGTGAAGATTTGGGAAATAAGTCATATACCCGATTAGGTATAGCATATACCCGATTGGGTATTGACTTGAACCAGGTGTCAAATCTCATTTGGAGGCAATTAAACGTGCAAGACGAAGATTTGGCAAGATTTGTCTTTTACCCGATCGGGTATGATGTGATTTATGAAACGAGTAAATACTAAGGATACTCGATCGAATATCCTATATACCCAGTCATGTATCTGACCATGCCTCCTCCAAACACCTATAAATACACTCATTTTCTTTCCCATTTAATCATCAGTTCACATATACTCTTAAGCTCAACCTAGTTAAGTGCTTTTTTATATTTTCTAGCATGTTTAGTCTTCAAATGAGGAGCTAAACCCTTCCATCTTGATTTTGCTACATTGAAATTTATGATTTGTAAGTTGTGAGTTATTTTATTTAATCACATTCCTTGAATATTAATTACATTCCTATTTTATATCTCATATTTATATTTGAATATTACTTAAAGGATCAACTAGTTTTGTTTCATATATTTATTATTACGGAGTACTACGTACTAGAATCGATCGATGAATACACTTGTTAATCGCTCGGTCCTTTCAACGGTAGTAAACTTGGATTATTAATGCATGCGTCTCATGGTTAATCATCTAAGGGGATTGATTGTACCGATTACTATCAGGTTAAAGTTGTCAATCTCAGTCGATTTCATCTTCAGTTTTATTGCTAGTTTGCTACTGTCAGTTCAATATACGGCGCATGTTCTATATTGACTTGATAGTAAGTTTTATTGACGAACACATCTCGTTATTAAAATTGGAAATACTCCACGATTGAGTATTCGAGAGGAAGATAGTGAAAGATACAACCACGATCGACGAACATTTCATTAAGTAGATATAAGCAAAATCAAGTCTCCATCTCTATTTAATTAAACCACATAAGTCATTCATCTTAGTGTCTTATATACTCTTGAAGTTCAACACCAATCTAAAACTCCCCTTTGTTACAATTTAATTAAAAGAAAGATATTACGTTTCCTGTGGATATGATCCTTACTTCACTACACTGCGTATAAGTGTTGTATTGAATATTACTTTGAGGCACTCAGCGATTTTAGTGTCGTCAGCTTACACCCAATACATTGAACAAGGTGTTTCTAAGCTATCAATATGTAATGAAAGAGGCGTTTAGGCATAATGGTGGCAACAATTTCAAACGGAAGCATGTAAGGAACGACAAATTGCAAAGGTTGGGGCAATTACCCAATAATGTGAAATTTGTCCTAAATTGTATGAGACAGCAAAGGCAAGTTTGGCTGCACACTTGGCAGCTACCACATCAC